CTTAGAGGATAAGGTAGATATTTTCCTGCAGCTGTTTTAAATATCTTTTCAGTTTTGAAAGTGAAATACATGAATGTGGTTCATCACTTAAAATGTCTCAATTAAGTTGCCTCTTAGCCCACCTTCAAACTAGAATCCTCTACCTTGCTATTGGATCCTTCCCTGAGAGGTCCATGTCACTTGTATGCTGATGATTTAGAAGGTCATAGTGTTTCGGCACAGTCTCACAAATGTTGAACTCAGATGATGACTATTGGTATATGCAGTGTTTTTGTCAGTTCATGTCTTGGTGGTGTGAAATAAGAGATGCGTGACACAGGGAAAGAAGAACCTGTTCTCCATCTGTGTGCAAGGCACATCAGAGAGAAAGTAACGTAGCAGCCGATTAGGTTAAAAAATTACATACTGTGCAAAATGGAATTTAACATTCAGAAGTGCCTGCTACATAACTGTATTATTTAACAAGCTATTTATGATCCTTTGCTTCCAAACATGACCAATGAACTAATTCGCCTGAGGAGATTGCAATGTGGTAGCAATAACCAAGCTGTTAGTGCAGTGCCTTGGTACTGCACAGTTGCTGAATACATCCTTTATCATGTAATTGCATTTCAGCTGTTCCTAAAAACAAATGTGTTTAACCATCATAAAAAGAAATTTAAGCTTAAATGTTGTTCATCCTTTTAGTTGGTAAGCAGAATGTCTTTTACCTTGGTACCTTGCGGAGGAAGCTATAGGATTAGGTCTCATTGCTTTGCTACCAAGTGTAACTTCTGAGTTCCCTTTTGCACTCCTTATTTTCCACAGGGGAAAACTGATTGAATAACAATGTGTTCTCCCTGCTGTGTAATAGAGGAGGAGGACAGCTCAGAGAATTAAGGATCTAGAAGTGGAGTACAGTAGCTAAAATGAAGAATAACTGAGACAGAAATACTGATGGGGCTTCTTGGGTTGAGAGTTAAGGGGGTCATCTTATAAAGCTGGGGAGTTCCAGAGAAGTCAGCTGGAGCTAGCTACTATTCTAGAAATGCATGAAGTAACAGAGTTCTGAGGTGGATGGATTTTCTGTGCAACAGAAGGGCTGCAAGAGATGTGGAAAGTGTGGTAATAAGAGCAAAAGGTAATCAATAAAGTCTTGGGAAACAGATTCTACCATGTTTTGTCATTGATCTGTTACAAGGAATCTGCAGTTACCAGTTTTATCCCAGTAATCTGGCTTCTTTCTTCTTCAGCTGGTATTTGGGCTTGGTACTCTTAAAACTTCTGGTTATTTCACTGGTAGAAATATGTTTTAAGTGGTAGTCAAAAGATACAGCTGGCTAAAATGCTGAACTTTCATTGATCTTAGTAAAAAAAAAAAAAAAAAGTTTGTTTGACTTACTTGCTTTGCAGTGTAGAAGTGAATCCAGTTCAGGGTGTGTATTGCCTGTATGTAGGGCGTGAGAGAAGTGCAGATGGAAGGACACTGAACACGAAGATTTGTTTGGGTATGTCCTAAACAGGTACATAGAACAAACCAATTTAGACCAACTATCTTAATGTAATTGGGTGTGGGAGGATGTTGTGGGGTATCTGTGGTGTCTCTAACAAATCAGTAGTTTACAGCTTTGTAAGATAGGTCAGTATTGGGCATAACTATTGCAGTGACTGGTAGTGCATGTTTTTGTGAAGATAAAGTGATTAACTAATTGAACATGCATTCACATCTTCAGTGTCTTTCAGAATATGGGACTAAAATCATGCTCCCAGTTCCTTACAGAAAGCTGCATTAGATCTGTAAGAATAGTGCTAAATACACACTTAAACAAAATGTTTTATCCCTTAAAACCACAGAGAGTACAGCAGACTCAAATATAAGGGAAAGTAGATCAGATAGTATATAGCAGTTAATTTCCTTTTCCTGACTGGCTCCATGGCTCTGTCCGTATTTAGCTTGCATGGGTGGCATCCAGATTAGCTTGGCATGGACATAAACTGCATGGAGTTACTATGCCTTATTTGTACTGTATTTCTCCAGAGGTGTCACTGGAATTTCAGGGTTGTGTCTCTGTGTTGTGCTTTGCTTTGGATGCAGTATATTTGATTCTCTGATGCTTCATGAGAGGAAAAGGGGGAAGTAATTTGGATGTAGGGGGCACCAGGACTTGCTTGAAGGCAGAAAACATCAAGCAGTCAACTTGTCCTGTTTGCAGTGAGAATATCGGTTAACTTGTCAGCCTGAGTGAAAGTTTGCTTGGACTTTAGCCTCCAAACTTTGGGCTGCCTGGTCCAGGTTGGTAGGGGATCACAAATAAACGTGATAAATTTGTGCGTAGAGGACACTGGTAAAGTTCTTCCAAACTTCTTCCAAAGATGTGTGTGTGGGTTTTTTGTGTGTTGTTTTTGTTTTGTTTTCCCAATGAGTTGATAATGTCATAGGATGGTCTGGATACTAAAGAGCTGCTGGTGTCTGCTGCTACTTTTGAAAAAGTAGTTGACTTTTGGTGTGAACAAGGTCTTCTACCTTGAAGGATGTTAGCCCGACATAACACTTTAAGGTAAATGTTTTTTGTATGTTGTTGTTTTAGTCTGTTTTGGTTTAAATTAGTTTTTAAAACTTCATGTATGTATTGCTGTAGAGATACAGGTTTTTTGTATAGGAAAACTGGATTTTTTTTTATTTTCACATAACTGTCAATATATTGAAGGATACTTTCTCTTATTTTCTACTGTATCAAAGCAATATGTTCATAGTTTTTCATGTTTTACTCCAATAGCCTGTGGAATTGAATAGCTGTGGCATGGACTTCTGTTGGCGGGCTTTTGGGAAGTAAAGGCATGGAAGGCTGGCTGACTTTCAGTTTGGCCCTCAAATAGCAAGAAAGCACTGTGGAATAGCGAGCCTTTACACTAGGGAAGGAAAGAACATCTTAAGGGATGTATACAAAATTTCCCTGTTGACTCATGCATCTGATCTGAGGCAGGAAATGAAAACTTGTTTCTGTTATGAATGTCATCAAACAGTCAGGCTGCAAGTTCTGGGTAGCTGTTGAAATGGCTATGTTGAAGGCAGCTGATCTCATTCTAGTCTGCAGCATGGAGAAGGCATCACTTTTAGCTTCCCAGAAGTTCTGTGCTCTTCTGAGCTTCATAATGTCTTTTCTGGCTGTGTAGGCATTGCTAAATATCTTTTCTCAAGCTTCTGTTTGGAAGAACAAATTGTTGCCGACTTGGAGGTTTATTGACTGGAATTTGTAGCTCCTGCAGGTACTGTAAAACTTACTATATAATCCTTAAGGTAAAGGCTTAAGGTAGATTCAGTTGCTTTCTTTAAAGCATTGGTAAAGACTGAAAGGTAGTGTGGTGAGTGGAAAACTAGAATAAAAAAAGTTGTCCAAATAGTCAATTTTGTAGTTATTCCCAGTTTAATGGCTGCAGATAGTATTTTCTTATTAACACTCCTGTCTTTGCAGTGTTGGAGTCTGTTTTCCTCTTTCACCATGGAACATATACATGAACTGCTATTTGATCTGGTAGATCAGATTAAACCCCAAACTAGCAGTAACATTTCTAGAAATAGCTCAGTGGCAAACATTAAAAGCAGGCATTACAAATTGCATAGAAATTTGTCCTTAGTATGTTTCTTTTATTTGCCTATGTCTTGTCTTCTCTTCCCTAATCTAAGTTACTGAGTAATGAATAATGTTATTTCCTGTGTTTCTGCTTAAGGGAAAAAAAAACCCAGACCCCAACAACGTTGCCTTATTTGTTTTCTGTCTTATGTGGGTTTGTTTTTTTTTTTTAATTGGGGAAATACTATCTGTCCTACTACCTTGTATTTCCATTCCTTAAACACTACCTCTAAAATAAAACTGTTATTTTTGTAAAGCCTCTTGTGTATAAAGTGATTTGCAGTATCTGCTCCCCATACACAGAGTAGGAGAAGTAGTGTAGTGGCAAGTTTATAACATTTAGATGAGTAGTTACAACTGTGTAAGTAGTTACAACCATATATAAGTCTGTTGTCCTAGGTGTATTTGAGGGTGGAAAACAGGATTGGTGCTGTGTCTTTCTTCCTGCTTGTGTGAGCACAGCAGTGAGGTACACAGGTGGATGTTTCCGTTCTCTGTCTTCTTTGTGTGTGTCTGGTTTCTGATATAAAATAGCAGGAGGAGAGAGAAGACATTGTGTCTTGGCATATTCTAAGGTCTGAATGTGAGTAGATAGCAACAGCAGGTCTTCTGCCTGATTTCACTGCGGTCCTTGAGCACAAATCCATAGGAGGAGCTCTAGAGCAGATAAAGTAGTACTATCTTAACCGGCTTGCAGATCAAAGCTCTGAATGATCCCTATCTGCTGTTTACATAGTAAAGTGGGAAAGAGCTTAGGCTGGCCTCAGCTGTGGAAGGAAGAAGTGTCCTTGGGAGGGAGACATGCTGTTCAGTGTTTTGCTTTCTTTCAGACCTGTCTGCAAGTGTTGAAAAACTTTAATTTTATGGGCAGGTGCTGAAGCTCCATTAGCAATTATTTTTAAATTTCTTGTCCCTCCATGACACTTCTGTTGGAGGTCAAGGAAGTCTGAAGGCTCTGAAGTAAAGATCAGTAATCCTAACGTCTTAGGGTAAGTATCTGCCATTCCTCTGATAGGCTTGCTTGGTTACTGATTGCTGTTGAGATCCTAAGTGGGTATGGTGGAGGTTAGTCTTGCAGAGGTTAAGGGAATTAAATATTTAGGCATTGTTTCAGGAAAAGTGCATTATCTCTCAAATACAGCCAACATACATAGGCTTGTTCTACTTATTTCCTTATTTGTTTGTGTTTAAGTAGATATGTGACTTTTTTTTTTTCCTGACCAGTTGTGTTCTTTCTGTGTTCTTCATGCTGTAACTGTATGGATGTCTTTTTGCTCTTTACAATTAGCGTGGAAATCTGGAAGTGCAATGTATTCTTTTAGGTGTGCAGTAATAGTGAATTTGTATTGAGATGCAGCCTAATAACATATATGCTGTTTTGCTCTTTAGTATGTATTGAATTCAGTGTTTTGTGTATTTCAGATGACAAAAAAGATATTGACCATGAAGCAGTGGTGGAAGAGCAGATCATTGGAGAGAATTCTCCTCCAGATTACTCAGAGTACATGACAGGGAAGAAACTTCCTCCTGGTGGAATACCTGGCATTGACCTCTCAGACCCCAAACAACTGGCTGAATTTGCTAGGTAAGTAGGAAGAATGGATCTTTAAACTAAAATGGTTTTCTTTTCACTGGTTTCGTTATGAAACTTAGGCAAAACAAATGGTAGATTTAGTATGGCTTATTGTTCCATTTAATCATCTTGTGAAACAAGGGACTTCATTCAGAACAGAGTAGCTGATACCATGTTAAAATAACTGGGTTTTATATTCAGCAGTGACTTCTTCAATTGCTTCTGGCCTTTAGTTCTTGTTGGGTAAGGCAGGACCTAAATACATTGATAGACTGCATCTTTGATGTGACAGAATGGATCTTTCATGTGAGTAGTCTTAGATTCTGCAGCACCAAAGCATCTGATAAATTAAATGCTGCATTCAGATTGTTCAGTACGAGAAAGCTAGACTACAGTAGTTTGTAAAGCTGCTTACTGTTCTTTTTCACCTGCTTCTTACTACTTAAGCTCTAGGTCTTAAACTTCTTTTTAATGGAGTCGTGTCTTGCATTTTCGAATGCCACTGATAATTGCAGCTTCACAGTTGGTAGCTCTACTGCTTGGATTTTCCTCTAGTGAATCAGAATTGTCACTCGTTTACATATCAATACATTGACCTGAGCTACAAGGTGACTTTCGCGTTCAAGTAGAGGTGAAGCTCTGTTCTGCCGTGCAGTACTGAGAGTGTCCTGTGTCTCTTCCCCCCGCCCTCCGCAGAGCCCCGGCCCCGGGACCGCGGGCTCAGGGCAGCCGGTGGCCCCCAGAGGGCAACCGTGAGGCCACCGGAGAAGCTGCTGCGGCACCAGGGAGCCGTGACACGAGGGTGGCCTTTGCAGCGTTTGCTTGGTCCCCTTCTTCCTGTGCATGTGCTTGTAATTACCAGAGGCATACTCCTCCACTCAGTGCATGGGCAGCGTTGATGCTGGTGTCTCCAAATGTTTGAGCACAACTGTTAGCTTTCTGCAGCTGCTGTAATCAGTTTTTCCCATGTTGAAAGCAAAGTGTGTGTATGAAGCTACGCTCGTTTTAATTTTGTTACCAGCTGGCTGTTCTTCAGAGCCCTGGGGCACCATTCTGACACCTAGAGCAGGTGGCTGGTCAGGTGTTGTTACTCTTACTTCCTGGGTCAGCTAGTAGAGGGAGAAGTGTGCTGCTTTTTTTTTTAAATCACTGGATTTTTCAGGTAGCTGCTAGACAGCAGGGATTGTTGAGACAAGTTCTGGTCTGGCTTCTTGGTTAGGTGGATCTTGGTGTCCAGTGTGTGCATCTACTCTTGTTTCATCTCTTTGAACTTGCTGCTTTTTACAAGCTTGTTCTGTTACTCTTCAGTGTGTTTGTACCAGAGTATTGCCAGCACAGCCTTGTCCCAAAATTGTTTTCAGTAAACTGAGATTTCATTGAACTATGGATTTTGAAGGCTCCTAGTAAGATGGTTTTGCAGGGCTTGCTCCCTGCTTCAGGCTATCTGATCTGGAAATGTATAAAAACACGTGATGAACAACTGAAAACAGCGTTTTATCTGAAGTAGTGGGTGGTTCTAGGTACTGATACTGTTGTTACTTGTTTTACTATTGTTGATCAAAATGATTGTGTGGTCCTCTGAGACCTGCCGAAAGGTTAATACCATTTTTTGTGAAAGCAAACGTTTAAGTGATGCTCTGAGTGTACATAGCATTCTAATTCTAAAATTTTACTTACACGTTTCTGCTCATCATGTGCTTTAAATGGTATTCTCAGTTACTTTAAAGCATGCTGAAACCTTTGGTTCTATTAAACATTTAAGTACTGAATAACTATCTTTTATTAGGAAGTTTAAATAGTTTCTCATAGGGTATTCTCCATGCAAATACTGAATATTTTTCTCCAGATCGGTTTGAATACTTGGAATGGTTGCCAGGATTTGGGCTTCTTGAAGTGACCAGATTGCATCTATTAGATCTGTCTGCATATTTCTTAATATTGTAAAATGTACTGCATCTTTGGGTTTTAGTTAGTTTTCTGTTAAGAAAATAGTGGCAGCAGGCAGTAATTTAAAATTGCCACTTTTTTTTGTTATCCATGGTAGGACGTTCTAGGAAGTTCTAGAGCTAGAATTTGTAGCAGGTGATGGAAAGATTGAGTTCTATGTGTACGATCTCTTTTCTGTTAATATACTTCCGTACAGCAGATAAAATGTAATCTGATTCAATCATAAGACAAGTATATGGTAGTAGAGAAAGCAGCTTGGGGGGACATTGGCAATATGCCCAAGTTGTCCAAAACTTAGGAAGAATTCTTCTGATAGTTTAATTGTAGATACGTGAAAACTTCAAGCATCTTCTGTTTTAAGAAAGGTTTTTTTGTTTTTTGGTCAGAATCAATGACTGTCAAACTTACTCTTGCCTTAAAAAAGAAAGATGAAAAAGAAAACTGTGTTATTTGCATGTTAGATCTTAAATGATTGTGTATAGCTGAGGCTGAAGAATATGGGTGTATTAGAATTTGAATATTGCTTGTTAAAATCTTGGTCTTCTTGCAGTGAAGCATGTTGAAGGGACTCCTTTTAGCTAATAACTTGAATTCAAACACTGATACCTACAAACCTATTTTTATACTGATCGATTGTCTTACTCATCTAGATTGCTTTGTTCATCTAGATCACTGTGCACGGTATCACTAGAAACCTTGCATGGCAAACTGGAAGAAAAAAATGGGTTTACGTGTACTGGAATTGGGTTTGGAGGTCCTAGGAATACAGTTGTTCATGCTAAAAGAATGTGTTTAGTGTAAAATTCTCTGAAAGTTTCAAGCATTGCTTGTTGCTTTACAATTCAGAATTTTTAAATTATCAGTAGCTGTATTCTGAAAACTGAGCAGCAGGTGAAATCGAAACTGTTACTTTTAAACTTACTAAGTAGCTTCACATGCTCTGAGTAAGGTTTTGAGTAACAAATTTGTATTTTGATGACTTGAAAAAAGAATTGTGCACAGTCCACATATAAGGAAACATAAACTGGCTAGTAAAATTGTATGCTAAGTGTATTTTGTGCAGTTGAGAGCAAGTTATTTTGGGTCGCTTTCCTGTTTTCATGAAGGTAGTGGGAAGAATCTCACTATACATTTGTAGAAATTAGCTAGTCAAAACCAGGCTAGATTCACTGTTTATAACCATGCAGTTTATTTTGATTATGGATAAATTGGCTGAGACATTTGCATCAATTCTTAGGAACAAAGTTCTGAGGTTAAGTTTAAACAGGCAAAGCTTGAATGCTAATGGTAACAGATTTCAGGCAAAGTTCTGGAGTTCTGATCATGGTCTGGTTAGTGAGAGGTAAGACGGGGTGGACTTGATGCTTGAAGACCTCTGTAGCTCTGCAGCCCTGAAAAAAAAAAAAAAAAAAATTAAAACTGTAGTAATTCAGCATCTGCAATGGACACCACTGCTGCTCAGCAGCTAGGTGGCACTAGCGGAGTGAGCAGTTATGCTGTCTCTTGTGATACAGTTGTCTTTCACCGCTTTTTTTAGTGCATTTGTCATTGGGTCATGTGGCAGGAATCCGGATCCTTTAACTGGAACTCCTAGTTTTTCCTGGAAAGGCTTTTATACATTCTAACACTGTTGACAACACTATGAATAAACAAGCTGTGTCAGAACATTAAGACATGTTCTGTAATGCATAGAGGAATGATCATAAATTATATCTGGCTGGGCAATTTATTGCCGTTTCCAAATTATTTCATTCTGTTGTAGGAATCATGCATTTTCTCTAGCACACTTTAAAAATGCAATAAAAGAAGAAAAAAAATGTGGATTTCTCTTAGGCAGTCATGTTGGAATGTGAAACATTAGTTGTGAATGATCTGCTCAGAAAGAAATACAGCTTAATAAATTACCACGTTCCCATTTGATACCTTTGACTGGGACACTGGAAATCCTTTAAGTGAAATAAAATGTTTAATCCCAGTCTAAATTATTACAAGTAATTCTGTAGTTAGCTGTGAAGAAGTCATAACTGCTTGGTAATAAAAGCTTGGGGAGGTAGCAGACATATTTCTAGTTGGTGCATATAGCAAATTACCTCAAAGCAAGCCACTAAAAAGAATATCCCTGATTCCCTTCTCCCTCCCTCTTACCCTCCAGACAGGTACATGAATGAACTGGCTAAAGACAGCAGAATACAGACATCAGTAAAACTAAGAAATAAGAGGGGAAGATTGTGTAGCTGGGAAGTTGGCACACTAATGGGCCCTAGTGGTAAAAACTTTACTCTCCGTGGCTTTATCTTCTGCTCTCTTAGTACCTTTTTCTGAAGGAGAGCCATTGTAAGGACTGCCCTTCCTTTCTATCCACTTTCCAAAATGGATAGAAAACAAAGGAGAGGAAACTGAAATCGGACACCCTTCTTAAGTGACAAAGCATTCTGGTCACCTAGATTTACAACATAGACCTCTTTATAAGGTATATGCTTTTGTACTGGTTTTGTTCTTGTTACAGAGAAGCTTAAAGGGCAGTAAACTGACAGTTGCTTTACCCAAAGTGTTCTTCTGGGGAAGGGGAAATCTCTTTCTCTGTACCACACTGCAAAGGTCACTCTCTCTGTTCACACACATGATATTTTTCATAACTGGAAGAAAACTAGTAATTATTTTTGCCACAACCTTGGAGCGATAGAGAACTTTTTTTTAATGACATTTTCCTACCTAACTGTGACCAAAGCACGTTAGGACACTGGTGGTCTGCTCTTTGGTTGTAGATTCCTAGGACACCTTGTGCCACTCCCCTTTTGCCTATTTATCCAAAAGCCAGTCTAGCCAGTTTCAGTTGTTCTTAATCACAGATGAATTCTTGCAGCAGCATAGGGCCATGACACTGATGTTATTTCTGCCTCAGCAGGGCAGTACAAGGGGAATGGCAGAGTGAGGGAACAGATCAGAAGTGGCAGTGACACTACTGATAGAGAATGATTTCCTCCACTTCTAACTATTCTTAGGGACGTGGTCATCAGCACAGGTGAATATCACTGGTGGTCATCAGAGATCTCTAGGATGTGTCAAAGGAGTTGCCTGAGAGAGAATAATACTGTTTAGGTTAGATTTATGTATAGAGGAAGAAGAAAGGATGTGAGAACACAGAAGTTTAACAGCAGCAAAAAGGGAGCTATGGGAACAAGGGGAAATTCTATACTGTTAATTGTTTTTTACTTACGGATTTCCTTTATTCCTAGCCTTAACTTTCTGTGCCTAACTTTTAAAATTGGTTCTATCTCCAAGACAGTAGGTTGTGGAGATTGATAGAGGTTTGGGGTGGGGGTTGGTTCTGTCAAGATACGGTTCTTTCAGTTCAGCTGGGCAGTTGAGGGAGGTAGCTGTTACTTTCTGATCTTGCACAGTGACAGAGTTGCTCTTTTTATTTTGAGGAACTGAGTGGTGTAATACCTGTGATTTCACTCAATCTTCTTTATGCATGGATAAGAGAGTGTGCTTTTATGGACCTCATTCTGTGAAGCTATTTGGTTGCACACCTTCATGCTGCTTCTGCTGTCCCCCATGCCCTCCGTCCACGCACTCAATACAAGTTAACAGATTTAGCCTTTAGTTGCAGTGTCCCAGTGCCTTGATCCAAAGGTACACTTGCTAGTTTTTCACAGTTAGCTAGTCTGCAGTTGCTACTACTAGGCATGGCTGATATAAACTCACTGCAGAAATGAAAATTCTGGTCTTGCCATGTAAATTGACTTTCTGCAAAGGCAACCATTTCAAAAGTTCCACCCAGGTATTAATGTGTGTGTATAGTTGTTTTAAATAGTGGTATGTGTTAGAGTTCTGTTTTTGATTAATGTTTCAGGCTAAGACAACTTGGACGGAGCTGGTAGAGATGCTCTACTGGGTGGCAGCCAAAAGTCTAACCACCAGCAAGAGCTACCTGCAACAGTGTAATTAAGATCAACAGCCCAGTTTCTAGTCTGGTCTCCTTTTGCAGAAAGTTAATTTTAAAGTAAGACCAAAACCTTTTTTCTAATACATTTGAATATGTAAGTCTTTAAATTCTTCTTTGAGTGATTGTCCATATGGATTCCACAGCCTTGTGAGCAAGATGACATTTTTGACAAAATGACCTGTTGTAGCTGTGCCCGTGCTGTACATGCCCTCATGCCTTTAATCCAAGTGTACGAAGGGTCCAGCAGCTTCTTGCTGCCTGTGGCGCTGAGCTATAACCTGGATGCTGTTCGCTGCTTCTTCCTGTTGAAGTGTCTGCTGCTGTTTTGTTGAATAGCTTGGTTGCCTGTGGAACCCTGTGCTTATGCACATGGTTATGTCTTGTTCCGCATTTTAAGCTTAAGTTGCCTGCTTCCGATACTTCCAGGAGAAATGAAAAGATTGAAAATCTACCCCTTTATTAGCTAAACTTTGTTACTGTTTTGTAGTCAATAGGGACTAAATGGTTTTATGTTCAAGTATACTGTTGGGCTGATGTTCCTCACTTAGAAACAAAGCTTGAAAATTAAAAAGTCAGCTTATTCCAGAATGGACACTCAGAATGTTATGTGCCCGCTCAGACACTGAACTGAAAAATGTAAGGTATATGTTGAAGCTCCAGTCTGTCCCATGTCTGACTATCCAGTTCTGCTGTGATTTGTTCCTCAAGCTTCCTGACTACACTCATCTAGATGCTTCCTGACTACACTGGCCAGGGTATTTTCACTCTTGCTCAATTTCAACAGCCTGTTACAGATGACATTGTTGCAGCATTTCTTGCTCGAAGATTGGCTTAATACCAGATGCAAGACACAAGACTTTTGAATAGGATTTAACACAGTGATCGGTGGGATCTTATACTAAGCATAAAGAATGCAAGCACTGCCCACTAAAGCTGTTTACCACATCTCCTGTTAGTGTTTCCTTTTCTGTCCAGTCTCTCCCTTTACAGGCGGTCAGTTATGACTTCAGAACAATGGTGTTTTTACTCGTTCTGATGATAGACACAGATTTTGAGCCTAGGAGTTTTTTTGCTTTGTTTTTTCGGGGCTGTCAACATTTAACAAGTTGATAGAGTTAGAAGTAAAGGAGGTGTTTTTGACACCAGCTTTGTCCCCTAGGTGTGTTTGTTCTCTAATGGCATTAGACCATGGCACTATGTTCTCCCATGTCCTGTGTTGTCAAAGCATTCTTCCATGTGTCTGTTTTGGCTTTCTGTAGAGTTACTGTAAGAAAGCTTTAGTGTGTGTGTTTTCCTATAGCCTCAGTACCTGTAGTACCATCAGGTAGAACCTCACTGGAGACTGTAGTCAGTCAGTTAATCCCAATCACTTGTTTGGATTTAGGTATTTAATACTTTACACAGAGGCTGCGTAAACTAAACACAGCATAATCATTCTGTATTCCAATTGGGTTATATAAATTAAATTTAATCCATAAGGTCATCTAAGTTGGTCTGTAATCTTGGAAGAAGAAAACTTTGCAGGAAGATTAAGATTATAAAGAGGCTGGTCTACAGGGACAGGTAGTTTGCTGTGTTCAGGATGTCTCTGCCCTTAAACTGATGAAATTTTTAGGTATGCTGCTGGTGATGGTGCAAGAGGAACTTTTGTCCACACGAAATACCTCACACCCATCTTCTAGGAACTGCTAGTATTTGCAAATGATGGTATGGTTGCATATGATACTCTTCAGCTTCCATATTTTTGTCATATCTGTATTCTTAACCCTGCAGGAGACTGCAGTGTTCTTCATATTCAGTGTAGTCTGGAGATGCTGAGCTAGCAGGAGTTTCCTAAATGTCCACGTAGAGAAAAGAACAAATGCAGCCTCTAAATCGTTGGGTTTCAGTGTTGTGTCTCTAAGTGGCTAACTGTCAAGTGCTTTACTCTGTACGTGACCACTTGAACTGTGCTACATCTGCAATGCTGAGAGGAGTCAGATTGTTTCTGAGGGACAAATGATAGCCCACAGAGCCATAGGAGACTTCTCCATCACATATGACTCCACTGGCAGTTGTAAGATTTTCCTGGATCCTGTCTTCAGGAATTCTCAGGGAGGTTTTTCACTGCTCTTGCCTTAATTCAGCCTCACAAGGCCTTCCATTCCTGTCTTCTCTCATCTGTTCATGTGAAGGAGGCAGGTGAAACAGCAGATTGAAGCCCTGTGCATAGAAATGTTACAGTATCGAAGAAGACTGGACCTTACCTGCAAAGAAACAAATGCCTATGTGGTCGAATTGGAG